TGTACGCCTAATGTACTTCTACAATAAATACAAGGTTAAAAAATGCTTGGATCATTGTAGGTTTAATAATATTTCTACTGCGCTATTTTTAGTAACAGTAGGCAGCATCTACCTACGTAGAATTGGGCAAGTACATATTTTTATAAAAGTTGCGAGTTTTGAAACGAGATAACGAATCACTGAGTATTAATATATTATAGTAAGTGTGTCTTTCAACGTTTCTTAATTTAAATTCAATTAATGAACTCCCTGTATTATGTAGGCATTTTTAAATATCATACAGCATTTGTATTGGTCTACGGGGTCTGTAAACTTTCACCTGTTAAAGTAACATCATCCTTACACTATCCTGTATTTATTAAGTAATATTAAAACGCCAGTACCATACACTAAGCACTTTGTTTTATTGCTCGCTTTAGTTAATTATTTCATTATAACGTATTAATTAAACTAGTTTTGCGATTAATAGAAGCTACAAAGGAATGTCGCTCTGGTTTCGGGGAACTTGCTCATATGTCGCGGCACATATTGTTCAAATTAATCAAGCACGCACAAGGGAATGCAGTAAGAATATTCAGGTTGTATATTATCGAATTAATTATCCTGGTTATGATAATTAGTGAGTGTAAGTAATGTTTCGAGCGTTGAGCGTAATGTTTCATTGCCAAATCCGAAATTTCCGTAATACAAATATACAATATCGATGGCACAGAAACGAAATCATCAGTGCAGTAAGGTAAGTCCGTTTTGTACGCTCGCGAGCAAAGGGATTTGTCGCCATTCTCTGTCGAGTAAAACGATATTGCCGTTCGTTATGTCAACATGGTTGCACAGCAGCGCAAAAGCTTCCTGATGTAATTTACCCTGACATAATTACATCAAAACCAGTTTTTTGAAAACTTATTTTAGATGGGTTGAAGTCGAGCCAAACCAAAACTACGCTTTGTTAGTCCTGCGTGTTTTCACTTTACGATTTTACAATCCGACTCATTCACACACGCGAGTCTTCTTATTTTATTACCATTAAAGTTCTATGAACAAACAAAAAAATGTCCTCCATAATATTACCACGCCAATATGTCTCGGTGCTTATGCAAGCGTACCACAAGGATCAGTTCTTGGCCCTTTCTCTTCTTAATTTATGCCACAGGTTTGCCTTATAGTTTTTTATATTTTGATTAATTAAATTTTGTTGTTTTTTTTTTGTTGAAAAAAAATGCGCAGCTAAAAATACCAATCGACGTGTCCGAACGTTTTTCGAACACGCCCCCATTTATTTATTATTGAATTTATTCCATTTGGCTGATACACACAGTATAAATCATTCAGTAGCAAATTAAGTGATACATTTTTATTTAGAATTAAGTATTTTATGGATAACACAAATTTTTTCCACTAAATCTATCAAGTGCCATACAAAATGCATTTTTTATGTTCGTGTGAAAGATTAAACTTCCCGTAAAGAACGGGACACCGTTGAAAAAACAAAAACAATGAAATGAGGTTAAATATTTACGCATCAAAAGTAGCGGAAACATTATCTGTAATTTATTAAACATCACCATCACTCAAAACGACAGTGTGCAACATTAGATGTATTGTACTGAAACAAAAATTGCACACGAGCGATAAACATAAATAAACAAAAGTGAAACGCGCTACGTGATTCTAAATGGAAGTTTTAAAGATGAAAAGGAGCTACTTTTAATTACTCCCCAGATAGGCGAAACGGCTCTTCTAAGAGACACACATCATTGCACTGAAAAATGAACTTCTGGTATTCACTGCTGCTTTTACTTAAGCAAAAAATGCTTTTCCAAAGCCACTAAATTTGTCGAAAAAAAGGAGAAATGCAGAAATAGAAGTTTACGACTTTACGAAGTTCTTTATAATTAGTTTTCGATCACGAAGCGCCCTTTTTCGATTTGTTTGTGTTAAAGAAAGACGATCTGCAGTTTTGTCGTAATTCACCAACCATTACAAGATGGTACAAACCATTACAGAGTATATCGTTTCAGATGTACGCACGCTGCTTCGCGTTTGCATAGTTTCCGTTTTGATAGAGTGGGCGGTCCCAGTTTTGATTTATCTTGGGCAACTATTAAGTAAACCAGTAAAGCAAAAATAAGTGCAAGTCTACAGCGCTGTAAGTTCCCTATACACGACGTAATAGCTTCCCAGGAGACAATATTGTACAACGTATCTCGCTTGTAATTTTCTCCGCTATCTGCAGAATGAAGGAGAACAGAGGAGAGCCCGCTTGTAATATCTTAAAACATAAAACACGGTGGACAAAGCTCGAATATTTATATTGTTCTCGATGTGATTCTGTGGCCGTCGCAATCGTTTGCTTTTGCCTCTAAGGGCATAATCAAATAAGAGCATAGTCTTCATTCCCAACCGTGTCTCAAGAAAACACGAAGCCCCTTATTAAAAAGAAATTTCAAGGTCTAATGTTTCGAATTTCTATGTCTTGAACAAACCAAAATAAACAATTCTCCGTTTTATTACGCAATGAGTGCCACGAGAAAAATAAAACGAATTATTTTCTGCCCAGAAAGTTCATTGTTTGTGAAAGTAAAGGAATTAGCATACAATAGCCACTGCTCGTGCAACTGCATTTTGTTATTTTAACCTATTACGAGTATTTACTTAAAATTAAGAATGTGATTATTTTATTTATTCGTAAAAGCGCCGTACCACCTAAGTGGTACACTATGTAACGCAATTGAACAGATGTTTATTGACATCATACTAGAACCGTTTGATGATGGACATAAAATATTTTTATGTGGCGTCCTTATAATATTAAGTAGATATTAATAAATTTATTTGGTAGGATGTTGTAACGAAATGGTATTTTATAAACCTCAATAAAATAAACTTCAATGAAAATTGATGAAACTACATCTTAGCTGTCTTGGAAGATTCAATTTTGTTTCTTTCGTCGTTTTGTCGTAATCGAGGGCGTGGAAATTTAATCAAGAATTATTACGCGAAACCTTGGCCGACCCTGCATCGTTCCACTTCGTCAATTGACGTTTGATTTACATTGTTTCAATTCAAAATGCACGTGTGCCGAATATTATTAAATTGTGACTTTTTTTATTCCCGACATGGTGATACTAATATTCGTAGCGGTTTATTATTACTGGTGCGAGAATTAGCAACGGGTGATGAAGACATTTAACATCCTCGCGTTTAATACTTCTCGCCAAGATCATATCTAAGTGCATCATCCACGTCTGTCAGACCTTTTATATATAGAAAAAAATATATATAATGAATGGGGCTCTTGAAAGGAATGCAGCGATATTATCGGAGATCCAGATAAAATAAAATACAGTTCACTAAAACGTGAAAGTATTCTGCTCTGGCTGTACATCGCATTGTGCTCACGTACTCTTCATTTTTAATGAACATAGGCCACATCTAGATAGTGCGCTGTTTTCGCTTCTTGCGGAGACGTTTATTAAAATATTGTGTAGGTCAGATGTATCAGCGGAAAATTTATGTTCTTTTGAGACAAGAGAACTTTTCTCTTTCGTCCCGTAATTTTTTAGTCTCATGAGTTTTTTTTTGCATCTTCAAATCTTTGGATAATCATCAAAATGTGAGAAAACATTAAATTTATGTAAAACTGCAATGATGTGGTTTCAAATTTGGCGTAACCGTGAAAGTTAGTAGTTCTAAAAAACATGTGCGACTTGTTATACATCATTGTACCGCTTAAAAAAATTCTAAACTCGCTCTAAATAGTTAAAAAACTCAACTTTCTCTCTGTTATGGTCAATTGTTTAATCTGTACCTCATCAATTTCCATCAAACTTCGGGTATTCCTCAAGGGTCCATACCTGGACCTCTTCTACGTTTATACCTTTATTAACGATATTGCTGAATTGTAAAGGTAATTCAAAAAAATTTAATATGTATTTCTAAAAAAGCTTATCAATGAAGTCGAACAATGTTCTTCGGCACCAGAAATCTAGATATCTAAAGGAGCCATTACATCAAAATTTGGGTAATAATTGTAATGATTTGAAAGAATTCGTCATTAATTTTCTGAAGTCACCGACATAAAAATTATTTTCAGTACTTTAGTATATTTTTGTTTCATTTTTATTTCTCTTTTTTTTTTGTTATGTTTATTATATATTTTACGTGCTCCCACTATAGTAAATAGACTATTACATTGTTTTTAAGGAGGTAAGTGGATTTTACCGTAGAAGTGGAACAACGGGAGGTAATTGAGGGAACTTACCTCTCTAGGGAAAAAAGCGATTTCGAGTTATAAATGCATATTTTATGAATAAATAAATATAGTAATTCTACAGTTATTACATTTAGTAACGTTTATAAAATCTGGATACTACTAGAACATGGGGTTGAAGTGTCATTGTAATTAATCCTGTTGGCTATTTTATTTTTGTTACTTAAAACTGTCAGCAATATAACTTTCTGCAACTGTGGCTGATTTGCTAATACATCAACTGTATTAGCTAGTAACGTTGCCGATGTTCTTCGGAATGAATGGCCTGTATATGTTTCAGGATGTTCTAGTTTCAAAAGCTGTGCAATCTTATTAGGAATCATAGAAAGGGTATTCTTGCCTACTGGTTAGTTGTAACATCTACCTGCTTGATAGCGCATAAAAAAGCGTGAAATGTCAGTTTTAATATCTGATCTAATCTTGATATATTTCTTGAGAATTCCTAGGTGAGAAACAGAACAGTTTTTACACATAATCTGACATAATTTTACTTGTATTTATTTTAAAGTAACCTATTTCTATATTGTACTTTCATATAACTTTTTTGCAATACGTTTTTTTGTACTACAACTTATCTTTTAAGTGATTCTTATGCTTCTAACAGCGAATAAAAATTTCGTATCGTCAACGTACCTCTCGAGATAAGTTTCCTCACTCAGTGTAGCAACGAGGAATCTTATCTTCGCGAGATGTTTGCAATGTAGACTCAAGTCGATTTTTCCCATTTCAGCTTGCGACTGCCATCCGATAGGGGCCTCTGGGAAGACCTGCAACCAGGCGTCGGGACAATGCCCGTGTAAGGACGGCGTGGTCGGCATCACGTGCAACCGATGCGCCAAAGGATACCAGCAGAGCCGCTCCCATATTGCACCTTGCATCAGTGAGTATGCCCCGCTATTCTATAAAGTTATAGGCCAGCAGCAGGTCTAAGAAATGGAGACGTTTTTTAGAACCTTACACATTTTTTTTATCAAATTTGCTTAATATACAGGAATATTCGCAAATTATCCAAAAAGTTGGGGGGGTACATGTGGTATTAAAAATAGAATCGATATCGCCGTGTATTAAAATATATTTTAATTTTTTTTTGCGCAAGCCTCTTCAGGTATATTCATACCATTTGATTTGACACAGGCCTCTTTATCATTCAGTATTACTGTGGTTTTCATAGTGCTCTTATTACCGTGATTTATCGTTTACATCAGTCTTATGGCGAACCACCGCGGTGTCGTGATTTAAATCCTCTCGACTTTTTTTATGGGGACGTCTAAAAGATGAAGCGTATCCTACTGAAATGGGAACTATTGGTTCTGTTCCTAAAGTTTGATTAAAATAATCTATCTATTGTTCAAATTGTTTCTGTCAGATGAGAGAAAAAAATTAAGTTTAACATTTTTATTCTGCATCTCAGTTATTCCTATAAAAGCGCTCTTTTCATGTGCGTGTACGATTGGCAGATATTTCTTTGAACATTCTTTTTGTTCCGTGTCACAAGATCTACACAAACATACATAGCACTGCTCTCCTAATATGAGTACTACTATTCCATATACAGAAAAATTAGCCGGCTATAAAATATTATGTCAGTATAACCGGTACCAATAATATTTCTTCCATTTCTTGTATAAATTCCTGTAATTTATTGGGAATTATTACTGGTTTTTGTCGGGTTGAAGAAACGTCTTTTCATTGGCGTTGCGAGCGCAGATATAATATATATGTACATTTGAAACTCAAGAATTCCACTTATTATATTAACGTTAAATGTACGTTTCCATATGTTGCACAAGTACGTGATGTACGCAATATCCACAAGAACTTTTTAGATATTTCTTAACATTAATAGCATGAATTTTTTTATGTGTGGTATATCCAAAACACGACAAATACTTAGCTCATCAACATACAGGTAAATATGTTGATGAGCTAAATATGTATTAGTAGATTTAATAATTAATTAATGGTGTTCATTAGACATAAGTCTATAGATAATTTCCAGTTCTTTTAACAAATATTTTCATGTTAGCATCTCTAATATGATTTCTAGATTTGACAAGCCTTTAAAAATGTATTTATTACTTTTTCGTGCAACAGACCAATAAAGCCCTACTAATACGAAGTTTTTAAGGAAGCACTTAAGACAAGTTTGTTGATGTAATAAAAAATAAACGAGCTTCTACAAAAAATAATATATCCGTAACGAACTTAAGTAATAAACAGCTATCGCCTTTCTTCTGAAATATTTGTAGTTTAAACATATTTTAAAACTAAATATTTGTACCGTACTTTTTTCTATTCTTATAACGTATAACAAATCTGGTTCCTTATTGCATTCATTACGTTGTAAAGTTTGAAAAATATTGCAAATAATTACAATTATTTTCTTTGTTGTTCTGTTGTCGCTGATTTGCATATGGTGTTTTGAATAATACAACACATGCCGAAAATTGTCATAAAATGATGACGATTTCATATTTCTACACTCAGAAGGCAAATACTCCAGTTATTAAAAAAATAAATAAATCTATAAAACTAAATAAAAAAAATGGAAAGGTTGTCGAAAAAAGCCGCAATTCAATGCTTTTCAGGTTCACGTTAGTATACTGTTGTTATCGTGTTGATGTTGCGTAATTAATTACTATCCGGTGGTGTATTGTAGACAATTTAATTTGTTGCTTCTTAATAAATAATGCGTACGTCCATGACCCTCGGCTCAGTTCTGACAGCCCTACTTATAAGACACTAGTTTGGATATATCTCTTACAATTAGAGATAGACCCATCGAATGCTAAGGGATATATCCAAATAAGTAATCATACATATACATTAGGGTGGCCCAAAAAAAAGCGATATATTTTTTTCGCGTCTCGTGAAAATATGTTAGTTTATCATGTTTTAAGAGACCCCTCAAAAAATCAGCTCAAAAATTTTTTTAGAAGTCGCTCAAGATTTTTAAAAATTTCCAAAATTGAATTTTTTTTTTAATTTTTTTTCTCGTTATTTTATCATTTTCTAGGTTGAAAAAAAAAACTCAATTCTGAAAATTTCAAATCGATATTTTAATTTCTCAAGGTCTCGTAATTATTTTAACTTGAAAAGTATGTATTATAAAATGTTTTCGAGCGACCTCTAAAAATAAATATCAACGAACTAATAATTTTTTTTAATGAATTTCATGAACAAACGAATAGAAATAAATCACGAGACACTTGAAAAATTTCTCGAGGCAAAATTTACTACCGAACGTTGAGTATCAAATATTTATAATTTTTTATTTTTTTAAAATTTAAGTTCAAGTTAAAATAATTATGAGACCTTTAGAAATTAAAATATCGATTTGAAATTTTCAGAATCGAGATTTTTTTCAACCTAGAAAATGATAAAATAACGATTTTAGAAATTTTTAAAAATCTTGAGCGACCTCTAAAAAATTTTTTTGAGCTGATTTTTTGAGGGGGCTCTTAAAACATGATAAACTAACATATTTTCATAAGAATCACTAAAAAAAAAAATAATCGTTTTTTTGGGCCACCCTAATGTACATAGTACACGAAAAATTGTTATTTTTGATGCTAGATTGCGACTATTTTTGATTGATAAATTGAATTGATTAGTATAGTCCAATTAAATGGGACTTTACATCGCAATTTTGGTCAACTTGCCTGAATTTTTGATATAAATTAGTTTGAGGTATGTAATAACAATAAGTGACAGTAGTTGTTTTTTTTAACCCCCCGGCCAGGGAGGGGTAAAAAAAGATAAAATAAAAGGGGTTTTCAAGATAACTCAAAAGGGGCAAGAGCTAAAAAAAAATTCTTGTAAAAGTTATATGGCATAAAATTCTACATAATGGTCCCTTGACTCTTTTTTAAATTATTAAAATTAACAGAGTTAGGGTGACTAGACGTTAGGGGATGATTTCAGAAATTAAAATATCATAAGCAGAAAAGTGATTGAATTTTATAATTTTTTTTCAATCTACTCTAAAACATGTAAACTATCTTTTCAGAGAAATAGATATAATTTTTAATTAAAAAAAAAAAAGATAACAATTTCACAAAGCGAACGTGATTTTTTACATGTCGAAAAAGAAAATTTCGAAAGCAACTTTTCATTATTGTAAATATTCAATCGAATGGCATTGAAAAAAATTGTTTTAGTGTTAAATCATAAAAATTACCGATTAAAAAATTGAANCGATTTAAAAATTGAAATTGTTAAAACTTTTTTATTAAAAATTAAAAATATATCTATTTCTCTATCTGAAAAGAAAGTTTATATTTTTTTAGAGTAGATTGAAAAAAAATAATATATACAATAAAATTCATTAATTTTTCTCCTTAAATCTTTCTTTAAATTTCTGAAATCATCCCTTAATGCATTGTCTAAATGGGTGGTCTAAATTTTATTGTGTATTATAGTATCTTTTTATTTTATTTTCCAAAATTCGACTCTGAAAGATATTGCGTAATCAGAATCAAATAAACAAGTCGAGAAATGACGGAAAGTCGGTGTGTAGCGTTAGCCCTGTATATTTGAAGCATGAACAAACGGTCCAGTTAAAAGTCATCAGTTATTATATATTATATTGTGCTATATTTGTAACGAGATCCTGTTTTTTAATAAATTTTGCTTTGGCTTCACTTCTGTCTTATTTAAAAGTGCAAATCCAATAATTTTTCGGTCATTGCTACAATCAAGCTAAGACAGTAACAATTCGTTAAAATAAAAAAATTCAAATCAGTCTTGAGATTATCTGGAAATAATTCTGAAAAAGTCTGAAACGAGAGAAATGTTTTCGATTAATTTTTTGTTACAAAAATTTTGTACATCCACAAAAGAATTGACAAAATATCCCGTTTTTTTTTAAATTTAAATGAAATTATTTTTATTTTTAGTTAAAAATCGACAAAAAATGGCACAAAAAAATCGGTGGGGAGGCGGAGGGGAAATTTTTTAAAGCAAAAAAGGGAGCAAAAAATCGGGAGGGGGGCGGAGGGGAAATTTTTTATAACAAAAAATGGAGCAAAAAAATCGGTAGGGGGGCGGAGGGGAAATTTTTTATAACAAAAAAGGGAGCAAAAAATTTAACAAAAAATCGTCGCTCTTTTCCTTCAAATTTAATAGAAATTAATATTTTTATTTTTTGTTAAAAATCGACAAAAAATGGAGCAAAAAATTCGGGAGGGGGGCGGAGGGGAAATTTTTTATAGCAAAAAATGGAGCAAAAAATTCGGAGGGGGGCGGAGGGGAAATTTTTTATAACAAAAAATGGAGCAAAAAATTGTCGCTCTTTTCCTTAAAATTTAATGGAAATTTATATTTTTATTTTTTGTTAAAAATCGACAAAAAATGGAGCAAAAAATTCGGAAGGGGGGCGGAGGGGAAATTTTTTATAGCAAAAAAGAGAACAAAAAATTCGGCAGGGGGGCGGAGGGAAAATTTTTTATAACAAAAAAGGGAGCAAAAAATTTAACTAATATTTTTATTTTTTTTTTTTAAATCGACAAAAAATGGCTTAAAAAAATCGTTGGGGAGGCGGAGGCGAAATCTTTTATAGCAAAAAATGGAACAAAAAATTTAACAAAATATCCTCGCTCCTTAAAATTTGATTGAAATATGTATTTTTGTTTCGTGTTAAAAATTGACGGAATCAGTACAAAAATTCGTTGCGGAGGCGGAGCAGACATTTTTATTTAACAAATTAAATCCTTAAAATTTTATTTAAACTATCCCTTTTATAGTTACTTAATAAAGTAGTTCTCGCTGATCTGCAACAAAAGAGGAACAAAAATGCGTTTTCGCCAGAGAAAAATGCATTTGGTTCCTTTATACGAATTTGTACGCTTGCAGCACGTTGATCGAAGCAACAACAAAAATATACTCCCAGCCCCAGACGATTTACTCAACGTCTAGGTACTAGGAACGTACATCTTCGAATGCTGCTCCTTCTGTCTGTACAGCTTCCTGCAGAAATCCCCCTGAAAAAAAAAAAAAAAAAATTAAAAAATATTTATCAGGCTCAGCAAAAATGTTGACTATCCAGGGTTTTTGTAAATAAGTGCGAAATATTTTAGAGAGTGGTTGCCGAAGTTATTTCGTGAAAAAACGTAGGTCGAAATATGCTTCGTTTCCGAGATACAGGGTGTTTAAATTTTAATTTTTTATTTACATATAAATAACTATTTCCATACTTCTGTCACTTATTAATTAATTGAATAAACTGCTATTACCGCTCAATTATTTTCTTTGTTCGATAATTGCAAATTCAGAACCGACAGATACCCTTTTTTTTTCCAGAAATACCCGTCGTCCAAATTATGGCGACCGAAGAAGACGATGACGGATACAGAGAAGACCCAGACTCTTCCACGGCGGGAGGTAAGTAAGTGCGACATTAACCTTGTTCCGTTCACATCTTGTTATTTTTTATAGTCGCCGTTATTTATCGCCTTTATCTTTCATTGTTAGGGGTCCCTTTTTATTATATTCTAAATTTTGTTCAAGAATAAATTGCAGACAGTCATACGATACTCTAATACATGCCTGTGCGCGATAGTGATCAGAGACCGCCGTAGTCTCTACGAACACGACTGCAATTACAGTCATGCCTGTATACAGGGCGACCCAATTTACAGGTCATTAACAATTAACTAATTCAGTAACTTTAGTTACTTGCTTATAACCCAGTGTATCAATGGTTACTTACACCACAAAGGAGGCAAGATTATTAACCAATCGAAGACGATTTTGCGCCCGAGCGGAGCGAGGGCTGGCAATAGAGTCCGAGACTGGTAAATTATACTTAACTGCTGCGTGGTGTATAAGAACACCCTTTTTATGATTCCTAATAAGATTGGACAGTTTTTGAAACTAGAACATCCTGAAATATATACAGGCCATTCAATCCGAAGAACATCGGCAACGTTACTGGCTAATACAGGAGTTGATGTATCGAGAGACATGGTGGGTGGAAATCAGCCACAATTGCAGAAAGTTATATTGCTGACAGTTTAAGTAACAAAAATGAAATAGCCAATAACAAATATTCCTATTTATTTGTCCATAAAATACGCATTTATAACTCGAAATCGTCATTTTCGCTAGTTACCTCACTTACCTCCTTAAAAACAATGCATTAATATGCAATGCACTATAGTGGGAGCAGATAAACCTTATTTACAAATGTTATAAACAACCTTCAATTAAAATCTTGTACAAAGGTGCAATGTGTTATCGTTAAATAATTAAATGTAACGAGTTCTGCTAAAATTTTAATATCAAATGCATGCATTATAAATATCTGTTATACCTTCATATGTGTGCTCTATTTATTTACACGTCCTTTTTCCTGTTTTTATGTCACTATCTCCTAAGTATTGTTTATCAGTTGTTGTAATATTTACCGCTAATGGCGCTTATATTTCCCGAATTATTACCGCGAGCTTTTGGTGCTTTTCTAATAAGAGTCGATATTTATTTTAATAAGCGAATTTATTACAGTGCCACCCAAACGTAATAATAGCTTTTATGTGATTGTTAACATATTAATTAGAGGAAGCTAAGAAGAAACACGAACCAATTTGTATATAACGAGTCGAAAATATTTCGACTACGTTTTTTCATAAAGGAATCTTGACCTCATTAGGGGGATCCTTATTTCTGTTTGTTGATTTTCTTACAATTAAATTAAATAAGACATGATATGTACCAAGTGTTTCTTACAGACGACTGCAACGTAACATTTCTTTATATACTCAATTAATAATTATGATTTAATTAGTGGATAACGTTTTTATAGAAATAAACTGTAAAAAATAGTGGCATGTTCTATAAGAACAGGGCAAATTACAGAAAAAAAGGTACTCTTGTCTGTTTCCCATTAGCACAAGGTTGCACTGCAGTAATTAAAGGTTAATCTACGGCGAATATCAACAAAACGCTGCAGAGGCATCGCGAAGTCGGGGGAAACCCGTTGAATGTTTCTTATCATAAAGCATAAAAAAATTACGCGAACACCGGTCATATTTATTTCATATACAGCGTGTTCGGGCTTTACACGCCGCGAGATCTCAGTTTCGCCAATGGTCAGTTGTTATTACTGCGAAAATTTTACAAAACTCATTTTAGTGGTTATTTCCCTTCATTACAGAACGCTGTCCACCGCATTTGATCCCCACAAACCGTTTTATTAAATTCTTCCGATAGACCGCATACATTATACATGAGCAATTAGATCAGTTTAATCAAAAGCCGATGTGGGTGTAAACTTTCGCGAAGTAATATGGGATGCAGAAAAGTCGGAAAACTTATAATTGAACGAATGCCGATTGTTTACGTTGCCTCCGATATGACAGCGGGGAAGTTTTTGGTGGATTTTAATAAGGCACTCTTCTTCCGGGCGGAGTTTTAAAGTTTGCCGTCGGATAAAGGCGCATGGTGCAGTCGATTTACCGGATTATAGGGAGAATGAAATTCCGGCAGCTCCGCAGTTTATTAAGAGGAGATTCCGAGAGCTTATTCGGAGGATCAATATCGAGCCGTTGTGAAAAGTGTTGTAATAATAAAAACTTTTTAAGAAACATACATTCCATTATTAGCTTCCGTATTTTTTCTCCTTTTTAAAGGATTCAAACAAATCCAAAAGTTGTGTTACTATGCTCCGCGGTCGAAATTATAGAGAGTGAGTCATCGCTAGCTCTTGGACTAGTAAGGGGGATGAAGCGTGCCGGGAACGAAAATCCATTGGCGTGTCTACGTAAAAGGCAACAAAATATAGAAAATATTAAAAAAGATAATAAAACATAACATCTAATATTTTTTACGGTTTGCTATAACCGGCATTTTGATCCATTTTTAATTATTACAGCAATTTAAAACGCCCCAGTTGTGTTTTTTTTTTTAAATTTATAAATTTATTATAGCCATGGATTTAGACACCTCGTCTACGATTATGCTATGACGTTTCTCAGACTCGTAAATGCAAAATTAAACGGAAAAAGTGCTTTTTCTTTAATTGTTAATAACATTTTAAATAATAAAATCTTACCAAACTTTTCCAAAATGTGAGTATTTATATCCTTAAGAGATACGCAAAAGATGGGCTCGATCGGTCAAATAGTTTTTGCAAAATTCCATTTATTTATCCCATTTTTGCAAAAAAGGCCCATTTTCAAATAACTATTCCGGGGGCAGGGTTATGACTAAAACATTCTTTTTGGGCTCATTCTCTTCGAAGGAACACCTAGTTAAAAAAAATATATATTTTTTTCAAATTTAGTTGTGTATAATTGTTACCAAATAGAAGGCACATTTTTTCCCTAATAAACCAATAAAATAACTCCGAAGTTTTTAACTTTTGAAAGAAATCGTAAAAAAACCTACAAATTGAAAAAAAAACAAGTTTCTATGACCAATAGGTCCGGAGTTAGTAATTTTTTTTTAAATCAGCAATTTGTTATAAATATTNACTCTTAAGGGGGCGTTTTTATGCCCAATTTCAGTGAATTTATAGCATTCTTTTGACGGGGGTTTTATATAAATCTAAGTAAGTTAAAAACAATACCTGTTCACAGTACCAGTTACAAAAGCTTTCTCCAGGGTGTACGACAGTATAAGCTAACAGTAGATTCAGAAGAAGGAAAAAATCCATATTCTTCTTACGTTTACCACTACTTTTCCTGAATTTTACACTCCTGTTGAATATACCTATAGCAAATAGCGTACGATACTATAAACATAATCACACCCCGCAGAATGGTTTTATGGAACTATTAACACAATCATAATTATTTTTACAAAATTCTCGACAAAAAAGGAATAGCACCTACATTCTGTAATAAGGTTAGAATGAAAAAATTCGATACGAGTGGAAGATTCCCAACACGAACGTTGGCGAGCGAATTTTTTTATTCTAACCGAGTAACATACGATATTTTCTCCACGACCAAAAAGTATGAATCAGAAACAATTAAATTAAATCTACACAAAATAAGTTATTTATTGAGATATTTGTATTAAGTACACTGTATTAATATTTATATTTATGGGGTTGGTACAACTACTGAAATTAAAAACTGGTGCACTGGAAATATTTTCTGTTATATTTTTCAAAACAAATTTATTTGTACAGGCAGACTTAACAGTCGTGTAGCAGGAAGAATTGGAGGTTGAGGGGGCTGTTACTAACGAATTAGACCCAGTAATTGAAGAAACTAATTGATTTGCTATATTTATTCGATTTTGCAGAGAATTTTCACTTCCAACCTCCATGTCTTTAAATTAAATTTAATTATTTTTAACTAGAGGATACTTGGTGTCCCTTCGAAGAAAATGAGCCTAAAAAGAATGTTTTAGTCATAACCCTGCCCCCGGAATCGTCATTTGAAAATGGGCCGTTTTTTGCAAAAATGGGATAAATAAATGGAATTTTGCAAAAACTATTTGACCGATCGAGCCCATCTTTTGCACATCTTAAGAGATGTTTTGGGAAAGTTTGGTAAGATTTAAAAAAGTTATTAACAATTAAAGAAAAAGCACTTTTTCCGTTTAATTTTGCAATAACTTTTTTGTTCATAAAGCAATAATTTTAACGTATAAAGTCTCATTTTAAAGATGAGATCAAATCGTCTGTTGAACTTTTTTGCTAAGATTAATATTTTTTTTACAATAACGCGTAGAACGAAAAATGACGAATTTTTTACCTATTTGTTGATAAAAAACAATGACGTTATACTTCTTTCATTACCCATTTGATGAGACGCCCTTTGTATTATCATTCCCAAGACTTTCCAACAATAAAATCACGCCCAGTAATTTTTACGAGTCCTCCATGATCTTTCACCTTTATTTCTTGGTCTAATCTATTATTCTACAATGGGTTGTGGATTGGCAATCGGGGGTACTAAGATAACTGATATCACGTTAATAGTTTGGCGGACACTAAATATTTTCGTAAATATATTCTGTAAGCAAAAAAAAAGAAATAATTAACCACGCCGAATATTACAAGGTCGCCCGTCGATCGTAAATCTCGGCATTCAATCCACCCCGTCGCATATTACAATGGAAATGGAAGAAATTCGTTCCGCACGACCCAAGAAAAATAAATTGCGCTTTGCAACGGGAATATATTACGGCCCTACATATGCGGGTGTGTACAACGTATGCAAATCAAAATTCTTCTCATAACGGCGAATTTGAAACCTCATTCATCATCCCGCGACTGTTTCTTATGCGTCGCGACGTATCCTAGGCGGGAAAACAATATGGACTTGAATTTAAACGAAAGCGAAGGTATTGGGGAAATACACAACGGAAAGAAGATATATTTGACGTTTTCCTGAGCTAAAGTTCAATATTTGAATATGAATATTGATCAT